GAATTTCGGTGCGGTAACTGCACCGTCTCGTCTACCAGTAGATTCTGCTCCTGTCGGCGCGCTGGCAGTGCACCGTTCAAGTGCTTGTGGCGGAGAGTGCGGAATGGCACTCCCTTGTAATACATTTCCACTTGATGCGTTTTGCATGTCTTCGTGGAGGCGTTCTGTGTGCTCGAGTCTGTTTAGCATTCAATTCTAATCCATTTCCTTGTCATCTCCATCTTCCTACCTCCCATGCTTCGTGTCAGTGTGCTGCTGGCAATTTCCTGAGGCCATAATGCCTGGACGCGTGGGCTGGAGAAGGATGTCTCAGAGGTCCCTTGTTCCGACAGGAAGGATATGTTGATGGTTTGGTAATGGTAACGGTGTGGTGTGACTGTCTCCAGTTTGTAAAACAGTCTAGAAAATGTATGTTTTTCGCAGTTTTGACTTGGAGCTAAGAATTTAAATGAAATGCATTCCACTGACGCTCGCTTTGCTGCATGGAAGTCGCAATAGTGTGTGACATGTTTGTACTGAGATCGAATTTCCTTGTCAGGTTAGCTTTTTTGGTGTGGCGCTAATGCCACTTTTGTGTGAAGGCTTTGTTATCTCACCTGAGGCAGAAGCCGTACCCCTAAAGTGAGAAATAGTGGGAATTGAAAGTATTGCTTAACGCATTGGCCGTTTCGTTGGCTTTATCTTCGTTCCCCATGTTAACAGTGGATGTGATCACAAAGTTTTGGGGTATTTAGCAAAGGCCACAACAACGACTTGATGTAGGTTGTGTGCGCTTGCGAGGTGGCATTGTTTATGCGCGGTATTGAGCATCGGCTGTGGCCACTGCCTCCCCATGGTAGCCTTTACTGTGCTCTCCACTGGTGCCTCCCCAGTCCTGACCCTCCATCGTGTCGTCAAATGTCGGTTGAAGGTGGAGTCGGTTGCCTGTTTTGCGAGAGGAGTTGAGTCGTTGAAACTTCTCTTCAAATTTGTTGTGTGGCGTTTGGCGAAGGGATGTAACACTCAGAAATGTGAATTGAGTTGTAAATGATGCAAAGTTGGGGAGTGAGATGTGTCTGTGAAAGACAAATGGAGGTGAATGTGTCAAGGCAAACTCTTAGTAATGCTCAGAGGTTTGAGTGAGGGATTAATTGAGAGGGGGAGTCGTGGATGCTAATGTGGTCTCACTGGCATGCGTTGGCAGGTGGCATAGAGTGAGCTTCAAATATTATTTACACGTTGTTCACCTCTTCACCTCGCATTAGACGTAATTATGCGCCCTGGATTGTTT